TAAAGATAACTAGAACTCCTAAAAGCACAAATCAAGCAACATTCGAGCATTGAGTAACCATACCAAGCATGTCCTATGCGGCCATCATATTACTAACTAATCAGTTCTAGCATATAACTCAATACGCACATATAACAGGCATATAAGGCATCTTCCTAAATCCTTATCCCTAATCTAGCATGCAGTTCTCATACACATATAAAAGGCATACAAGGCATCATTCAATAGATCCTTAGCCCTAATCTAGCATGTAGTTCTCATAATCCTATCACATCATAACATAACATGTATGAGTATCTTGGCAAAAACTTACTTGAGCTCTGTCGGTCACACGCATCACACACCTTGTTCTTTCTCAAAACTCCTTATTTTAAACTTTTAGAAAAATATTTTCTTGTAAAAATATTTCATACCCTAGATTTGAGTTCAGACACCCCCGAAGGTGTGTCCGAATCCCTCAAACCAGGGCTCTGATACCAACTAGTAACATCCCAATTTTCAAGACCAAAAATTTTGTTTTTAATTAAGTAACTTATAAAATAGTTTACTGAAAAATATCAATGTATCATATCATTTCATAAAACCTCAGTCACGTTTCTCAAAATACCATAACATAAAATAGTAATAATGTCAGAGTACAATCCCCATGGATCTCAAATTGCAGAAATCATATGTGTGCGATGCGCTACTACCGTGCTGGCTCCTTCCCCTTCGCTAAAGAGGTACCTGAAACAAAACTGAAAATTGTGAGCACGAAGCTTAGTGAGTTCCCCCATCATACCACATACCATAAACATATACCGCCTATCCCTCAGTATCTTTCAACCGGTATCTGGCTGGCACAATCGGAAACTGAACTTCCCTTCGGTATCTTTCAACCGGTAGCCGGGAGCTGACCTCCCCTTCGGTATCTTCCAACCGGTAACCGGGAGCTGACCCCTCATTCGGTATATTTCAACCGGTAACCGGGGACTATTTCACCCCTACCACTACCACATAAGAACATATCATGAACATACTACTAGACATGCGTGGGTTCTGACGACCCCTTCGGTATCTTTCAACCGGTAACCGGGACTAATCCCCTTACTACCACTATAACATATATCATATCATGATAACAACATAAAACATATCAGGTAGTAGCAAACCTATATATTTATCACAAAGACAATAATCTATCAACCAACTCCTACTAGTGGGACGACATTGTGGCCGTAGACCCACTCCTACTGGAAGGTAACTCACCTCAATGTCGTACAGTGTTTGAACTGTCCTTGCTGCCGGAATCAACCCCTCTTAGATCCAACACACAACAATCTTCCTTGATTACCATTTCCTGTTCAACTCAGGTCAAAGTCAAGGGTCAAGGTTAACACCTTGGTAAAAGTCAACTCTGGGTCAAAGTCAATGTCTGGTTGACTCTACTTGCCAAGTTGACCCAACAACTCGCCGATTCCCCAAATCCTCAAAGCACTAGAACCTCGATCTTACTCGCCGAGTATTGCACGCACTCGCCAAGTTCTCCTTCATACAAAGTCGGGACCTTCTTCATCTTACTCGCCGAGTTCATCCTTGAACTCGTCGATTTCTTCTTCTTGCAATAAGACACGTTTAGCCCTGGACTCGCATAGTTCCTTATGAACTCGTCGAGTACGCCTTCATGCAGTTGGGATTTGCCATGAACTCGCCGAGTTCTGTTCTTGAAGTAGCCGAGTTACATGATTTCCAGGTCATGTTTCACATCTATCTTGTTGAGTCCTCTTCTAGACTCAACCAGTTCGATCCAAGCAGAAAAGGCTTGGGGAACCATACCCCGACTTGTCCAGTCCCAAGAACAACTCGTCGAGTCCCCCAAAGTCCATAACCATACAGTTGATTTCAGTCAGGTTTAACACATCCAAAACATAGATCTGGCCTCCTAGGGTCCATAATACACGTAAAGTTACCAACTTGACGTTCATGCACGAGGTATTTGGCTCAAATGCCCCTAAAATGAAGTCTACAAGATGCATGGGGCTCTTATGGCAATAAAGTAGGCACCTTTATGCCATAGGAACCCTCAATGGTCGCAAATCTGAAGTCATACCCCTTTATAACCACAAATTCCCGAAAATGGCACTTCTAAGGCTTAGAAAAGATAGAAATGAACCCTAACTAGAGATCTAAGAGATAGATGGTCAAGGTTTCAGCTTTATACCTCAAATAAGCTTGAAATGTGCCAAAACCTCTGGATCTTCTTACTTCCTCTTGATCTCTCAAGCTTCCTTCTCCTTCTTAAACTTCAAATACACACAAATGGCACCAAAAAGCTCAAGAACACTCAATAAATGATTAGGGTTTAGAGTTAGGGCTTTTCTGGACTGGGAGGGACGATGGAGGCTGGGTTGGGACAATATAAGGTGCTTAAATAGGGCACAAACCCTAAATATTAGGGTTTCATCCAGACAGTCATACTCGCTGAGTCAGGCTCTCCGACTCGTCGCGTAGGTTACTTAAATTTCACGTCTAAGAGTCTAGTCTACTCGATGAGTTGGGGCTCCAACTCGCCGAGTCTCAGTGTAAAAATGAAACTACTTGTATTTAAAAATACATACCAGGAATCGGGTGTTACATTGTAGATCGAGGCCTTGTTCATCCTGATCTAGCTTCTAGAGGTATAAATTTTTGATCTTGATGGCTTTCTCATGTAGATCTAGTTTGGGTTATGATATGTCTTGTTTTGGGTCCCATGGTTATGGTTCTTATTAGTAGAAGTTACTCCAAAAGCTTTGAGTCTCATATTTGGTCTTTGTTGAGCTCATTAGGTCATAAAAATTGGATCTTGATGAATATAATCATTCCATTCATGAGTTGGTGGTATTTTGATGAAGTTAGAGAGTTAGGGATTTGGTTTGACACCATTAATCCATGCAAAGTCATCAAGTCAAAAACTTTATGACTTAGGACATCTCATATGAATTAGATCTGGAAGTTATGCATGTTGTCTTAAGGCATTAAGAAGTTTGGAGTAATTTTTAGGCATCAGCGTCGTACACTGGACGTACGTACCTGAACGACTTTTGGGTCATTTTTAGGCATGGAGTCATTTTCGGTTTGGACCTTGCTTTGTTGGGTCAGGTATAGGAAGGGTAAAGAAGTGTTTTACCCAATGGTATGAGAAGATATGAATTTGGACCTTAGAATATGGAAATTACCTTAACTATCATTAATTAGGAATATTTTGGATGTGTTCAGTGTAAGGAGCCTAGTAGCAGCAGTGCGTGTATGTTTTTGTTATCTCGGATTAAGGTGAGTCTCCTCACTATACCCGTGGGTCGAAGGCACCAATGTCGACCCACTAGGATCTCTTATATGCTAGTTGTCTTTGTGACTCTTGCATGGTGTGTTAGACTAGGCCCATTGTATGACGAGCTAGGCCTATTTGTATGTTGGGATGGACCCATGGAACAGGAAGGGCTAGGCCTAATTTATGTTATGTAGGATGGTAGCGGTCTTTGTGACTCTTGCATTGTATGTTGGACTATGCCCATTGGTTAGGTAGGGTTATGGCCATTATTGTGGGTTGGGCCCAATGTGAGGGCTTGGCCCAAGGATATGTATGGTATGTAGTATCATGGGGAACACACTAAGCTTTGTGCTTACGGTTTTTATGGTTATGGTTCAGGTACTTCCAGTTCGAAAGGGAAAGGCCCGACTTGATCGCAGCGCATCCACCCATATTTCCGCACTTTATGATAAGAATAAATGTTGTTTTGTGTTGAACTAAAATTGAAATTTTTATCTTATGATGTTTGGGATGTTACATTAGTAATGACAGATGATTATGTAAGTATTGATAACATCTTTTCTATGTTTAATCGTATGTGACAAACTTACGCCTTTTTTTAATTTTTAGAAAAAATATATTACAAGATATTTATAGAAAGTCAAGCACCCAATATGTGATGCCCTAGAAGACCCAAATCTCCGACCAAATCTACTAGATATGTTGTGAAAAAAAAAATTGGAGAATTTTTAATTAGATATGTGGAAACATATATGGTGTAAACATAATACAATACTGGATTTCCAAAAGATGGAATTCAGGATCCGATGCTTGATTGGGTAAGAGCCTGATATTCTTACATGATCATCAATTTTGAAATTAATTTAATGAAGGATGTTATCTATGAGCTTTTACATGAATACAATAAACAAGATAAAGAGAAGAGAGAATATGATACAAAAAATCATCTGGGGAAATCCAAAAAAGGTAGGAGAGCTTGACTTGAAAACACATGCGATATCGTCAATTACATATGGTAGAGATGGTGAATGTGGATTATTATGAAGGTGAAGTGGTGAATGTAAAGGTGAAGGTGAAGTGGTGGATATTAGATTCTGAAGTGGTGAGTGTGATTCTAATGATATGATGTTGACATGGATAATTTGTTTGTTGATTTATTAGGACAATTTTAGTTTTTAATTAGATGAATGTTTATTTATTTTTACAATAATTTTTAGTTTTTAATTAGATGAATGTTTGAACATATATATGATATGATGGATATGTGGATCTTAATATGGATAACTACTTTATTACTTTACAAAACAATGTCTTTTTTTTTGTTTATCAGTAAATTAATGTTTATACAATGTTTCATTTTAAATCACATATGATTTAAATATTTCTAAATGTTTTTTTTTCAATAAGCATATAGTTGATAATCACATGTGATTGAGTCTGTTTTGATGTATAAAGGATATTAATCACATGTGATTAATTATCTTTTGTTCTTATAATTATATGTGATAAGTATAACATAAAGTGTAAGATTTTTCTGATATATATATATATATATAATGAGAACCTAAAAAGGTTAACTACCATTTAAGAACCATTCATTAAGGATATTTTGGTCAATCCATATTTTTTCTTATCATTTAATTTAAACATTCTCACCAAATACTCTCTCATAAGTTTTCAAATTCTCTCAACTTTCAAACACTTTCTTCTTCTACAACATCCACCACCACCTAACTCCGGAGACTATACAACACCGCCGCCACCAACCTGCGACGACTATCCACCACCGCCACCTATCGTCTTTCCTATTCCGATGTCTCCTAATGCCGGAAAAACTCATTATCGCCGTCGTTAAGTCATTCTCCATCGACTTCCAACAGATCTGAAGGATTCTGGTGATTTTTTTCATTTCTGGTGGTGTTCCTAGTCCAGATATGTCTAGAACATTCGTCTTCAGATCTAGCACATATGCCGTCAGATCTGCTTTCATCGCCCACACCACAACCTCTTTCCATCGACATTGATCTCGCAACCACCGACCGCCAAGCTTTAGATCCAAATTCGGTAACTTCAGACGTATAATATCCTCATTTATATATGCCCTCATCTTCGACGTCGTCTTTTTATAACTTCAAATTTGTGAGTTGTGCTTCATTTCCGACGACCGTCTGACCTCTGAACTCTCCAAAGCACCAGAAAACGTCGTGTCGCCTCCCTGAAACTTTCAGATCTGAAGCCAAAGATGTCGGAAAGTCACCAACCGCCATCAACCTTTTAGATCTGAAGCAAAAACGTACTGATTTCTCAGATTTGGTTAGAACTGGTCAAATCTGATGTGTTTGGTCTAATTTTAGACATAGATCTTGTATGTGTGAAGCATTTCATGGTGGAAACCGGTGGTTCCACCACCGTATTAGATCTCTTCCACCATCACCACCCCCTCGCCTCAGATTGCAGGAAAACTCATCAACTGTCATCAACATTTTAGATCTGAAGTCAAAGGCGCAACGATTTCTCATATATGGTTAGATCTGCTCTGATCTTCAATATCCGGAGACTATAAGGAACATGAAAATCTCAGATCTGTAAATCACATCAGATCTGAAAAAAATATGCACACAAGGTGTTTGATCAAATGCTTCAACGAGATCTGTAAGTTTTTTATTTGTAAATAAGTGTTTAAATTTTTGTATTAAGCTGTAAATTAATATTTGAAGTGTGTATTATATTATGAATTCTGATTTTTTTAGGCACTAAGTTGTGAAATTTAGACTTTGTAATATTAATGACAAAACTGCAAAAATGGTCCCTGTGGTATGTATTTTTTGGGGGTTTTAGTCTAAACTCCGACTTTTTTGGTTTCGTGGTCCTTTTATACTAGTTTCATTGTGTTTTTGGTCCCTCGGAAAACTGAAAAGAGTAAAATGCCCTTCTGATATTTTTTTATGTTTCTTCATTTTAATTTAAAAGAAAAAGAAAATAATTAATTAATTGGGTCCACATATCTCTCTCTCTCTCTCTCTCTCTCTCTCTCTCTCTCTCTTGGTCACCGGAAAAACGCAACATCAACCATAGTTGTTGCCTCCCTCGATTCCAACCCTTTATCCCCTTTATTTTGATGACAAGACGATCCAACCTCCTCCTGATCACCACCGTTGCCAGCTGAAGCAATCCCATATCACAAATAGTCCCTATCGGATTTGTTCAATGGGGAAGAAGAACCGCCCACCAATTACCCTCCTGTCTTCTTCTGTTTTCGACCACCGTCCACCACACACACACACACACAAAACCTAAAAATCGATTCTCTCTCTCTCTCTCTCACATTGATCTGAAACGCCATTTTTCTTCTTCTTCTCTTTCTATCTCTCACAGATCTGAGGTGGTCTCTGAAACCAGACCTGAAATGTTAGTGTTTGTCGACGGTGGTGCTAGAAACCACAAGTCGCCGTTTCTACTAGGGTTTGTAGAGCCGTTGCTGGTTACCGGTGTCGGAGGCTAGGGTTTTGCAACGAGAAGAAGAATAGAAATAGGGAGGAGACACATGGGGCTATCATGATGAAGTAGGAGGGTCGAGAGGGTGGTTGAAGCGGTTGGAGTTTATCCAGTCGGTGGTTCCGACAAGCTCTTTCTTGTCTGAAACTCCTTCACCGGGGTTGTTTCGGATCTAAGATAGAGCAACAACGATCGGGGGTGCTGAGGAGGTTGTCATCGACAGAAAAGGGGATGAGGAGGGCTGGCGATATCTGTGAAGGAGGGTTTTGTGACGAGAAAAAGAATAGAAAGAGGGAGGAGATACCTGGGGCTATCTTGGCCTCGTCGGAGATAAACACACACATACGAGAGAGAGAGAGAGAGAGAGAGAGAGAGAAGGAGACTTTTTTTAATTAGTTAAATAAATAAATAAGTATTTAGATTTTAAAAAATGAAAGAAATGAAAAATAAATAACCCAAGGGTATTACAGTCATTTCACTATTCAGAGGGACCAAAAACACAATGAAACTAGCTCAAAAGGACCACGAAGCCAAAAAAGTCGGGGTTTGGTCTAAAACCCCAAAAAAATGCATACCACATGGACTATTTTTGCAATTTTGTCATATTTAATTAAGCTTTGAATTAATATCTGAAATGTTTTATTAAACTATGAATTTTGATTTTTTTTATCCACATATATATGAATTTTATACATGTAAATGAGATGTGAATGTAGTGTATTCAACTATGAATTTTCTATATTAACCTGTGAATTTTATTAACAGCGTAATATAATAAATTTATATTTTAATGCACATAAATGGCTGAAGATATATATGAAGGTATAAATATACCTTTTAAGTTGAGAATATGGCTGTGAATATATAATTTTTGTGTATCAAACTGCGAATTTATTATGTTAAACTATCACTTTTGTGTATTAAATTGTGAATTGGCTGTATTAAAGTGTGAATGGTTTATCTGAAGTTATAAATTTTAAGTTAAGAATAAATAACATTTGTGTGTATTAAATTATGAATTTGTTATATTAAGTTGTGAATTTTTGTGTATGAAACCATAATTTACTGTATTAAGTTGTGAATTGATTGTATTAAGTATAATTTTGTGTTAAAACATTAATGATTTATGTATGAATTTTTGTATTAATTTTCTTGTGAATATGTTTATTTTTTTGTTGTATAAGTATGTAAGAATGTATTGAGTTTTAGATAATTGTGTTGCATTGAATTCAAAGTGTTAATATGTTTATTAAATTGTGAATGTACTATTTAAGCTTAGTATAATAAATTCACATTTTAATACACATAAATGCTTCCAGATATGAACGTATAAATATAACTTTTAAGTTGAGAATATGATTGTGAATATATAACTTTTGTGTATTAAACCATGAATTTGTTGTATTAAATTGTCATTTTTATATATTAAACTGTGAATTAACTATATTTAATTGTAAATGTTTTATATGAAGTTATAAATATAAGTTTTAAGTTAATAATACATAACATTTATGTGTATAAAGTTATGAAATTGTTATATTAAGGTATGCATTTTGAGTATTAAACTGTAATTTACTGTATTAAGTTGTGAATTAACTGTATTAAGCCGTGACCTTTTTACATAATTTTGTGTTAAAATATTATGTATGAAATATTTGTATTAATTTTCTTGTGACTATATTTATCTTTATATTGTATAACTATGTAAGAAAGTACTAGTTTTTAGATCATTGTTTTACATTAAATTCAAAGTGCGTGAATTAATATATGTATTAAACAGTGAATGAAGTGTTTAAGCTGTAAATACATGATTATATATATATAATATATATATATATATATATATATATATATATATATATATATGATTTTAAATGAATGGTGGCTGTGGCGGTGGCTCAAATGATTGATGACAGCGTGTAGTCGTGGTGATAGAGTTTTGGTTTAACTTCTCCGAATATGTAATATGTAAATTAGTGTAAAATAGATTGTATTAAGTTGAAAATTTTATATATTAAATTGTAAATTGTCTGTATTAAGTTGTATTTTGTATAAATTATGTGTTAAAATATTAATGAGTGTATAGATGAAAATATTAGACTATAAAAATTACGATTTTTCCATTTTTTACCAAAAATACAAACATCAGGATTTTTAATATATTTAATAAGCATTTACAATATATATTTACTTAACAAACAGCGGTTCTTAGGTTCTTATTCTTTTGTGGTTGTCATTTTAACCACTTATATATATATATATATATATATATATATATATATATATATATATATATAGAGAGAGAGAGAGAGAGAGAGAGAGAGAGAGATAGGTTTAGGTATTAAAACTAATTATTGTGTTATTGTATGCACAACTGTGGGTCTATCAAAATTAAATAAATATTTAAATAATTAAATAAGTAAACAATGGTATTTTAGTAATTTGATGAATAGCTTCCACAAATAGTCACTGTAATCACGCTAGCATTCAGTTTTAACCTAATTTCTTTTCTTATATACACCTTCATCGATGTCTTCCAACCACTCCGCCACCAGCAGCAGGTCACCGCCTCATTCAATTACCGTTGTCGTTAGGGTGCTGGATGAGTTCGAAGAGGCGGCGTCGACACCATTTGGAAGTTTAAGGCAAGTGGTTGATGCTATGGCCGTTGAGATGCACGCTGGTTTAGCCTCTGAGATGTTACTCACCTTCGTCGACAATCTCCCAAACGGGTTCGTATAGCCATTAACACATATCTCGCTCATAGATGGATATATTATACTCTAAAATTAATGTATTTGTGATTCTCTTCCAAGTTTTTTGTTCCAAGCTTAACTTCTTGTGAGAAAAGCATTCCCTGGTGCTAATTTGATCGAATTCTCAATTCTTCCTACATTCGGATGCTTTTAATCAGTATCTCGAATTCTTATACTGTTAATTTCAACTCTTTTTACTAATGCTGCTGTTGTAGACTAATGTGTCGTCTTTCTGGGTGTTGTTTTACATTGTATTAAATCTTTAAAATAGGGAATTTGGGTTTGTTGATTCACAGGAAATGAAGAAGGAAGAAATTAGTTTTTTTTTGTTCTAGCAGCCTCTAGACTCAGTTTAGCGTTTCTAGAATTTTTGTTGAAGTTTGTGTGATTTTGGTCAGTAAAGATGAAATGAATAGGGGATATTTTGCTGCCTTCGTTATGAGATTTGATTGTAGCTCTTAGGATGCACACCAACTGGTCGATAAAATGCTTGAACCAACCTTTTCAATTTTTATTCAAGACCGTTATTCAGGGTATGCTTAATTTTCCTTTGGGTATAAACTACAAACTATGAACTACGAAGCATGTGTTTTAAAATTAAAATCCAATTTTATCTTTCTTTGGTATAAAAATATATATATATTTTTTGAACGAATGGGGAAATGCCCTCTTTTTTTTGTTGGTTTGTTGGGTACATAAGGGCAAGAACAAGATTGTTCTTGTATTTCTTGACTGGAATCCATGTAGAATGAAAGGAAACATGGGGTTCATTAAGAGGAAACGTAGAAGAGAAGGGTGAGTGGAATCATGAATTCTAATTCTGTTGGCATTTGTTCACGAATTGTATGAAATCACGAATCCAATTCTGTTGGAATAGAATCATGAATTCTAATTCTGTTGGAATGGAATCACGAATCCATTTCTCTTTAATGGGTTTTACGTGACTTTATTTTGGCTTGCTTCTTTATGCTTGAATTTTATCTTATATTGTTGGTTTATAATGATCAAGTGTCGAATACCATTATTTTTGTAGGTACGAAACTAGAGATATCAAAGCAAAACATGGTACATATGAAACTTACAACATTCTACTAGAATGGAATCTTGAATTCTGATTCTGTGATAATAGAATCTTGAATATGAACATTGTATGGGATGAAGATGAACAATGACCACCAATCTTCCAAAAAGAATGGATTATTCCACCAGAATAATATACAATATAATGAAAAAAATATATATATGTAACAGTATATTCTGGTAGAATTATGGGATAATGACTTAAAAGGGTAATATATTTTTCGATTTGTATACATTTGGTCACTGAGTTTTTTTTTCGTCCACATTTACCCCTTCAACTTGTTAAACTGTATACATTCAGTCCTTATGACCGGCTACTCCAGGTTACCCGGTAAAAATGACTTAATAGGGTAATATATTTCTCACTTTGTACACATTTAGTCCTTAATATTTTTGTACACATTTAGTCATTTTTTTTTTTTTTTTTTGCAAAATAAGTCATTTTTTTTTTGTACTCATTCAGTACTTATGAATGATTTTTTAGTTTTTTCTCACGAAATCTTACGTGGGACATTCATTAATGAGGTGTATGGGGCTTTTGATGCTTATATCCATCGCGATCTCAACTACTTGGTTGCTTAGGTCATGTGTTTTGAACGTCATAATTACTTCATATGATCTCGGATTTTAACGATTTTTATATCCATGCGTTCGTATTTTAGTCTACTACAACTTTCATTTAGATTACTCTCATTAAAAAAATAATATATTTTTACTTATGATTTTTATATCCATACGCGGTGGCGGATTTAGTATGGTCCCGGTGTTGCACCGACAACACCTGTTTTTTCTATTCGCTGTGAAAAAATTTCCGCTTTATTTTTTACGTTTATACCTATTTTCCATGTATCGACAACATCTATTTCATCTCGGCAACACCTACTATGTATTACTGCGTCTTCCCCTGTCCATACGTTTTTTATGAATGCATGTATGTATGTTTTTTTTTATAAAATCGTTAGTAAAAACATATTACATTTTAACGGGGGTAATCTTAATGAAAGTTGTAGTAGACTCAAAAAATGAACAATGTGGATAAAGATCCTTAAAATCTGATATCGTATGAAGAAATTACGATGTTCAAAATACAAGACCTAAGCCAAACCACAAGACTTACGCAACCAAGCAATCGAGATTGCATTGGACATAAGCATCAACAACCTCAAGCACCTCATCAATGATTGTCTCACGTAAGATGTGGTGAAAAAAAACTAAAGAAATCATTCATAAGTACTGAATGAGTACAAAAAAGGACTTATTTTGAAACAAAATAAAAATTAAGGACTAAATATGTACAAAAATATTAAGGACTAAATGTGTACAAAATGAAAAATATATTACCCTATCAAGTCATTTTTCCCGGCTAACCTGGAGTAACAGGTCATAAGGTCTGAATTTGTACAGTTTAACAAGCTTAAGGGTAAATGTGGACGAAAAAAAAACTCAGTGACCAAATGTATACAAATCGAATAATATGTTAGCCTTTTAAGTCATTATCCCTAGAATGATTCATATATTGTGTTTTTTGTGTTATTAATAAGTGTAAAATTCATATAGAATAGTATATAATTTTTTTTTCTAAGAATGTAATGAAGAATGTAATGAAATTTGTTTTTTAACTTGTATCCCAAATTTTGTTATTCTTCAAAAAGTTCATTAGATCAAAATATATATTATATCAGAATGTGTAATTCTTGTATGGTTCAATCATATTTGTTATTTTTCAATATATTGATAAACATATCCCGTCAGAATTTTCGAATTAGGAGAATTATCATCCACATAATCAGATTTTTAAAATTAATAGAATCTATTTTCCTTAAAATATGGAATTTCCTTTTTTAAATTTATGTTAATTGACTAAAATACCCTTAGAATGAAATTTGTTGGTATTGTTTAATTATATTTAATTTAATAATATGTATTATTCACTTTCCAAAATTAAGTAAAATGATTGGCCCACAATTATGCATACAATAACACAATATTTAGTTTGAATAGAATAAACTAAGCCTATATATATATATATATATATATATATATATATATATATATATATATATATATCTATATATATATATATATATATAGATATATATATATATATATATATATATACACACACATGCAGGCGTATCCAATAACATATTTAAAAAGGGGAAAGAGAGATGTATGATGGGAGTGCGAGAGAGTGTCACCCTCTGTTACAAGGTGGGAGAGATGAAGAGTACAAAAACGGAAGCTTTTCTTCATCAGAAATCGAGACTATTTCCAGCATATGTGACGTTATCGTGCAGCCACTCCCTTTGAGTTCTCTTGATGTTCATGAGAACAAAGTTAAAGAATCTATTCAGTCGTTCTCTACAGCTTCCGGTTCTCAATACCCAATTCCTAATAAGGTATAATATCAAAAAAAACTCTTCTATATTCTCAATTCGATTTTTTATTATTATTTCGAAGTAGAAATGAAAAAAAAAAATACGGAATTGGAAACAGGTAGCTCACATACTGGTGACGACCGCTTTTTTTGAAGAAATGATGGTGGTGAAATTGGTCACAACTCTTTTATCCACCAGGCTAGGCACCCTTTTACTTTCTGGGTTTCTTTGTATTTCTCATAAATGGCCATATATACACAACTTCTCCGAAATCTCACTACATAAGAGGGAGAAGATTCTGCAGAAATGGTTCAAGAATGGGTATATAACGCCTATCAGACTCGGATTGTTGTTGATCAAGTCAATCTGCCTTTTGGTCTTCTTTTCTCAGGTGATCTCTTCTTCCTCTTTCTCTTTATTGGCCAGTTGATCCCAAATAAAAATTAATAAATAAATAAATAAATACTGTTCTGATCTTAATACTTGAAAACAGACACTTGGTACATATATTTTTTATGTAACCCAGTGTGAGACAAATACGACCCACCTATTTGATAGGTCAAAATAAATAATTTGGATGACGAATACGCTGTCTAAGTAGTTTTTTTTTTACACTTAAAGGTATTATAAAAATACGCAATCGATACCTTGAACAGTTTTTATACTTACTCCAACCACCAGTTCCTTTGTCTGCTGCAAAAATGTAAGTGGTCCAAGAGACATTATCAACATGCAAACATAGATATCAACGACCATTAGATCAACATTTCTGCAAAAAAGTACACAACGCCCAATGCAAACATAAATATTTAGATCAAGATGTAGTTCGACCTTTGATCTGACACACCTCAACACTTTAGGAGAACAAGTATGTAACAGATAAATTAGGTGACAACCCACAATGACAAAGAAAAGCCCACTCTAGTTTGGAATTAAAATTCCCACATATCACTATTGAGAGTTGAGACACAATTTTTTTTTATTAATTAAGGATGCACATGTAAAATAGGCAACTAAGAGTAAGAATATAAGTCCAATTTGATAAGTAACGAAATATATCTAAACACTTATAATTATAATACAAGGAAAACGGCTGATATGATATTCTTGAAAAATGCCCAACAGGTAGGTGGGAAAACAAATAATCCTACATGGGAAGCCATCGGCTACCACGTCGACCTTAATGAAGAACAACCCAAAAGCAACCCAAAAGAGCGCCCTCTACAGAAAGGAATGGTGGAGCTTATGAATGAAAAGGGTCATACACTCGTGCAATCTCTCCGTAAGAAAGGCCTGGATGTGAGAGAAGACCTTAAACAGAAAATCTGCAGAATAAAATGTGACGTTGTAATAGTTGGCTCTGGTTGTGGTGGTGGTGTTGCAGCTGCCATACTTGCAAAATCCGGCAAGAAAGTTGTGGTTCTTGAGAAAGGAAACTACTTTAGTAAGACAGATTATTCAAAACTGGAAGGGCCTTCTCTTGATCAACTCTATGAATCAAAAGGAGTATTTCCTACCCTTCAAGGGAGTGTGATGATCCAAGCAGGAACTGGAGTTGGAGGTGGGTCAGCAATTAATTGGTCAGGTTGCATCAAGACACCACAATCTGTGCGAAAAGAATGGGCAGAAGACTACAACATTAAGTTATATGAGAGCCATGAGTATAGTTCTGCGATGAATAAAGTGTGTGAAAGAATCGGTGTTACTGAAAGGTGTGCAAAAGAAGGATTCCAAAATCAAGTTCTTCGTAAAGGGTGTGAGAATCTTGGTCTGAAAGTCGATTTTATCCCACAGAACGCATCCGAGAATCATTATTGTGGTTCTTGTTGTTATGGTTGCAGATCAGGAGACAAAAAGGGAACCGATTCCACTTGGTTGGTTGATGCAGTGGATCATGGCGCTGTTATCATAACCGGATGTAAAGCCAAGAAATTTATTTTGGCAAGAAATCGACAAGGGATGAAAAGAAGACATAAATGTTTAGGAGTAATTGCTGAAGCTTTACACCAAGAAACCTATAAAACATTAATCATCGAAGCAAAAGTGACAATTTCTGCATGTGGGTCTCTTTTGACGCCACCTTTAATGAAATCTAGTGGTCTGAAAAACCCTAATATTGGCAAGAATCTTCACCTTCATCCTGTTGCAATGGCATGGGGATACTTTCCAGAAAATGAAACAGATCTAACAGGCACAAACTACGAAGGAGGGATACTGACATCGGTTCATAAACCGGGGTCAGATGAGAATTACATCTTGGAAGTAACTGCACTAGGACCTGGATCATTCGCTGGTTTATGTCCTTGGCTTTCTGGGCAAGACATAAAGGAAAGAATGCTGAGATACTCTCGAACAGCTCATGTGTTTTCATTGATAAGAGACAGTGGACCTGGGAAAGTGAAGTCAGCAGGAAGGATAAGTTTTAAATTCAGCAAATATGACAAAGAAAATATGAAGAAAGGGCTTAGACAGGCATTAAGGGTGTTAATTGCAGCTGGGGCTGTTGAAGTGGGTACCCAAAGAAGCGATGGGCAGAAATTGAAATGCAAAGGGACAAGTAAAGAGGAGATAGAGGAGTTCTTGGAGACAGTAGATGCTGTACCTGGTCCGATGTCAATGGTGGAACGTTGGACTCTATACTGTTCAGCTCATCAAAT